TGGCCTGGAAAGGTCACCTTCCGAATATCCGCTTTACGATGGAGGAAGAGGAAAACAACTAGCTGGCCTTTCTTTATGTGCTCGTCTGCCGCAAAGAATGTGGTAACCTAAAACCCAAATTATTCCAGAAGACGACAAAAACAACGCAAGTACTGCGCAACAACAGCAACCACACAATCAGTCGCAAAGTCAGTTGCGTAAGGACACTATAGCAACCTCTGGAGACACGCTGCAGTAAAACGGAAGACAAACTTAGTGAATTGCTATACCTTCGAGAGGTATTAAAAGCCAATGGCTACCCGCGCACCCTCGTCAACCAGTGCCTGCGAAAACGAGATGAGAGACGAAATCCAACCGGCCCCAAATTGTTGCGAGCTCTCCTGTACGTAAACGATGTCTCAGAAGCCGTCAGCCATCTTCTCACACTTTTGTAACTGGAGTAGCACAGACAACCATAAGGCGCCAGACCATGAAGCCGAAAGGCCCACTACCTCGGCAAGAAAACCATCTCGAGACGTTTACCGTATGCTGCAGTTGTGGGCAAAGCACCTATGTCAGTAAAACCGGAAGACTACTGCGAAAGCGAATGGCTGTACATTTAGCAACGGCGTGGAGAAAAGACGCCAGCTCCCAAGTCGCAGCTCACTTGACGGGACCTAATCGCAGATTCATATGTGACGAAGCAGATATTCTTGCTAGAGTTGACAAGTGCGTGAGCCGCGAACTGCTCTAGTCATGGTTTTCCGGTCCTCAGTCAATCATTAAGCGCAATGACCTTCACGCTCCATATTCGGCGCCGAGACTTTGTTTAGGCAAATTAGTTAGCTGGAGGGCAGCGTGCGGATGCCCGGTGTTCCTGCCAAGCCGAATTACCCAAGAGCCCACACGGATAACGAAATCCGGTCGTCGGCAACTCGACTGCCTGCGATGAGCGTGGAAATCGGTAGTCGTGACCGGAACACAAGCACATAGCAACTTCGCGACTACTTACTGGAACTCTCCTCTTCGTTTCAATTAGTAATCCCCAAAGTCTTAACAGGAACCGGACAGAGAAAGACAGCAGTTAACACTTTGATTAACAACACATTGCAAGACCGCCGGGGATTTCATTTATTGCTAAATGAGAAAAATATGCTCGTCCGGTGCATTTTATTTGCATCCGAGAAGCGAGATTATTGTTGTTCTGAACACTCTGCTGAATGCGTAATTTTATGTAAACTTTGGTTTTGTGACATTAATATTTTCATGCTTGAATTACCGAGCGAAAGTTTTCATTAACATGCATTCTTGAAACTCTAGGAAATACAGCACTCCTTGAAAATTAATATCGGTGATATAAAATGATAAGTCCGTGTCGCGCCGATGCCTACTTTTACCATTGTTTGCACATGATGCTGAGAACTTAAGATAGAAGTCTGAGCCATAAATACCGAAACTCAATATCACGTGCGGACGTTAATTAATATTAGAAATGCTGACAGTTGCAAACTTCCCTTCTGCAAGTAGAAACGGGCACAATTAAACCAGTAGACACAACGAGATCAAACTTGCATCTCAAAGTCTCATTTGAATGCTGACTGAGCGACATCTACGATTGCTATGGCATGAGGTCTGTCTTAACCTCCGACGACATCCACGACGACTTCTCTGCAGCCATGGAATCAATTCTTATGATAAACTGAAACTACCAAGGACAAGAAACACTCCGTCTGCTATCGTGTTAGCTCTTTGCTGATGGTTCGCAGACTAAGACGATATGCTTTGAAGTGTGACCCGAAATCTATGAAGGGAGTGAGGAGGGACGAACAAATTATCATTCTGCCAGCCGATAAGAGATGAACTGCACTCATAGACCGAGAGGGAGACAACGCGATTCCTTTAATTGACAGGTAGTTTTACAGACCAACATACGACTCACAAACCAAAGCAATAGCATGTGAGCTAACTACATTGCTTACGGTATTTGGAAAAATATGAACATGAAGTAGAAATGGCGCTGAATGAAAGCAACAGGCCAAATGCTATGGTCTGCCAAAAACTCAAAAACCGAGTTTGTCACTGTGAACACTCATTGTCCTACGATGCCGCCCCACCTATAACTTGACGACGTGAATACACTCAAAAAATTAAGCTTTTCTAAGTCCTTTCTTTTCATTTTTCAGTTTTAGAATGTTATTGTAAAGACTAAAACTGTCATAAAGATTTTTGTGCTCTCGAAGTTTAAGAAAAAGATTTGAGTTTATTTAGACGATGAAGAATATTTACTTTGGCTATTTTCTTTTATTTTTTTACACTGATTGTTTTATAGACGGCGTTTGCCGCAATAACTCTTGAGAACTACTACGGATTTCCTATCAGCCTTATAACACTTTAAACTGTACGGGTTCACATTCAGGTGCGCGAAAATACTGCATACACCCGTTTCTGTGTTTCTGCCTTTAAGTCTTGCAAATGTAAATTGTAACTACTTGGGTTTGCGACACGAGTGCTCTGCCATTGTTCAGTCATGCAAAAATTCACCTCCCCTACTCAACGCTCTTCAATACAGTATAACACAAGGATTCTCGGAAGCATGCGCTCTACTAGATGATGTTGCCTAGTAAGAAAATGTGAGTCATGAATAGCGTCAAATGTGGCTACGTAGCCCCAGCTGAAGTAAACGAACCGCAGCCACCTGTAACACGAGACCAAAGGTAAAAGAGCGTTTTTGCGTGTGGGGCCGGGGAACGCACTGGCGTCGAGAAAAAATAGTTGTATGCAAAAGAAAGGCTATTGAGAATGCGCGGTTGTACTATGAGTGGTTGAAAAACAGTCGCCCTAACCCCTGACCTTAACCCCTGGCCATAACCCCTAAAACTTATCTATAATCCAGGCCCCAGCAGTATCGTGTCCATCAGACGAAGTAATGTAACCACATCTTCCCAGGATTAGTAAATGAAATGCACGGAAATTGCTTGACCAACCCATTTCGGGGCTGCAAATCTGTGCATCCAAAAACAAAACAGAGGTTATCATTCGCTTCAATCGAGAATGGCAACAACAGCCGAGGCTTTCGTTCATTGCCGAGTGAAATAAATGTAAGAACATCGACATTATGAGCAGTATACTGCCTAAATGCGTTCCTGCAAAGTTCCGTTTCATGACACCACTTCAACTGGAAAATTACTGTGAGACCTTAGATCTTCCTTTGCAGCATTTCACACATGAAACATACTTTTGGATCAATGTTAATATTGATGAGTATTTTTAAAACTCTCGGTAAAATTTCGATCCCCGAAGTTAAACCGCCGACACATAAATGGACAGGTCTGCGTCTCGCCGCTGTTCACTGTTACCAAGATCTCGTATTGTGGCGATAACCATAAATGAATATCTAAGCCACAAATGCCAATACCCCACATCGCTTAGGCCATTTGATTATTATTAAAGATAATGTTAGCCGCAAATGTCATTTTTGGGAATAGAAAGGAATTCGGTTGAACCAGCACGCACACAGGAAGCTTGAAATAAGTCCACAAACTCTCATCGAAAAGCCGACAGAATGCCAACTACGAGTTCTACGGTATGAAGTTTTTTTCTGAACGTTGCAAATGCCAAAGCCGTCCAACTGTATTGCATTTTATTAAAAACGATGCATGTGATAAAATGAGGCAAGTAACGACATGAGGCATTCTGGCTGCTAATGCGTTAGCTCTTTGATGATACTGCACGGATAAAATCTTTGTGTTTTGCTGGGTGAGTAAAAATCTACAAAGGAGTGGAAGAGGAGCAAACAAGTTGATAACGGATGAACCAGACATTTAAACCGAAAAACGACATTAGGACTTTATTTATGACGTAGGACTCACAAGGCAGAGCCGTAGCGAGTTGATCACTGACATTACGTATAGTGTTCGGGCGTACAAACGTGATCGCGATTAAAGATGCACAACAAAGTAAAATTGACAAACACTCTTTTAGCGCGATTTTATCAGAGGTATCATTGCAGTCTGTCGTCATTTAGAATGGCGGCCCTCGAATAATTTGACAAAGTAGACATATTAATGCTACTCCAAGGCATTTCGATTGCCTTGATCCCACCGGATGTTCATTATTTTCACATTACACGATCACTTATGGTGAATTCGAGTGAAAATCGGAAGCCTTGGGCCAATGAATTTGTTTTTCCACTGATCGCATAAACATAGGCTGGCTACGCAACGAGATGACGAATTAGCACACGCGATTGCCTACAATTTGGGTGTGGGTGTCCAGGTCAATTTCCAAGTCAGAAAGATTGTAGCCCACATTAGAAGGAAGATGACTTGCCAATTTATTGAAGGCTGGGCCTCCAGTGTGAACCTGGTAAATCGGCGTATCAATCTAGCGCCAGCGCACAGACCCCCACTTAGTTACTTTCGGGCTTGTGTCCGTGACTAGTACCTGTGCTGCTTGTATGGTATCTTGTTTGACTAAAATGTGCTTCAACCTGTCTGTCAGCAGTTAAAGAATAGTACGCGGTCATCCCAATCTGCCTAATGGACTCTAGTCCAAATATTCATACAGCATATATCGATTGGCGCCTGTAGATCATAGTATAAACTGGTTTACCAAAATCTGGCAGTTAATTCTCAAGGAAATAAAAAGCAACGGTTTTCTATTGGCTGGTACGCATTATAATCGCAGCCGCTTTTATCTGTGCCGAGGGACACTTATACGAGTTCGATAAATTAAGATTTACCGAGCGTAAAAAAAATTGATCATATCAAATCTGCCGCTTTTATCTATGCAGATGGACAATTCTCAATAGTACTTTCTGGGACTCGTGTCTTCGCTTCTATTGACAATGATCAACTTATCTACGCTTGGCGATCGAAACAATCTAGCTGCTTCTACAAAGCAAATACGATGAAACGGAGAATCCTCTTGGACGCGCCCAAGTCCTTCAGCTCCTGAAGCTATGTCTCAGGACGTACCTCACTTTCGACGGGACAATCTACGAACAGGTGAAGAGAACACCAATGGGTTCGCCGATTTCGGGATTCCTCGCCGAGGCGGTCCTGCAACGGCCAGAGTCGCTGGTCTTCCAACACCACAGACCAAAATTCGGGGCCCGGTATGTGGATGAAACCTTCGTCGTCATCGAACGGGATCAGGTGCTGACATTCCAAGAACATCTCAACGCCGTCTTCCCGGGCATTCAATTTACGATGGAGGAGGATGAGAACAGCCAGCTGGCCTTCCTGGATGTCCTCGTATGCCGTAAAGATTGTGGTGAACTAAAAACCAAAGTGTTCAGGAAAGCGACAAATACGATGCAAGTACTGAACTTTAACAGTAACCCCCCAATCAGCCACAAACGCAGTTGTGTAAGGACGCTCTATCGGCGTGTCGAAACGCACTGCAGTGAGCCGGAAGACAAAATTGCTGAACTACAATACCTCCGACGGGTATTCAAAGCCAATGGCTACTCGCGCAACTTCGTCGACCGGTGCATACGCAAAAGGGACGAAAGGCCTAACCGCACGGACACTAAATATTGGCGGGCACTTCCGTATGTCAAGAACGTTTCGGAAGCTGTCGGCCGCCTTCTCGCACCACTTGGGGTTGGAATGGCACACAGACCGAAGGCAACCATCAGGCGTCTGATCATGAAACCGAAAGACCAACTGCCACGGCTAGAAACGTCTGGAGTCGTTTATCGGATTTGGTGCAGTTGCGGACAAAGCAACTACGTCGGAGAAACCGGAAGACAGCTCCGAACGCGAATGGCCGAACACGCGGCAGCGGTGCGCAGAAATGACGCCAGCTCTCAAGTTGCGGCTCATTCGGCGAGATCCGGCCACACATTGAAATTCGATGAGGCCGAAATTCTCGCAAGAGGTGACAACTGAGTGAGGCGGGAGCTACTGGAATCATGGTTTACTGGCCCCCAGTCCATCAACAAGTGCAACGATCTTCCCATTCCATACTCCGTACTGAAACTTCGCCTACGCGGGGTAACAAGCCATGCGGGGAGCGCAGAGGTGAACACTTTTCCCAACACCGGGGTCGATGCGTCAGATGGTCGAGCAATCATCACGCCAACATCCAACGCACGTGATGAAATTGCAGCAATTATCGACTCGAATGTCGGTCATCAAGTAATGATCACACCAAGTGCGACGATCCCGGATGAAGGGGGAGCCGTGAATATTCATAGGTATGCGGTAGCATGGCCACTGCATCCTTTAAATACCACAGCCCCTTGTGCAACAAACACCCGTTTCTGCTTTTTTGTCTCTGATGATGGATTCGAGTAGGAATCAGAAACGTCAGGCTAATAAAGCTCTTGTCCCGGCGATCGTGTCTCCTTCCTCAAGTTGATCATATGAAATCGAAAATGGTTAATTGCTGCCGTCAGTATTTAAGAAAGTCTCCATGAAGCGAAGGTCGTTTGTCCAAGGCCCCTGTCGATAGCCACAGAGAACTTTGTAGTGATCAAAATTGCGTGCTAACCGGTCCGGACACGGTCTAGGAATGAGTATTAATTATAAGAACAGAGTACATGGACGACACAAAAAATATTGTTGGATTGCGCGAGATTTGTAAAGTCCGAGAGCGAGTATGACCTCAATGAGGCAGTTGAGGGTTACTGGACGACAGTTATCAATCGTCTCACCAAAGGTCACTTAGGTGACAGAGAGTATGAGTGGCTAAGTCCTGTGAACGCGCCTCACAAAAATTCACTAGCACGGACTGCCCCAATTTCCAGTCTTTTGTATGAGGAATTCGTCCTGTCACGCCATTGCGAAATGGCTGTTGAAGAAACTAAAAGAGCTGCAACGTTATTTGCGAGGAAATCCTCTAAGCTTTCCAATGAAATCAAGAATTGTCGCTTTTTAATTTCTTCAGAAATTATCTGCGAACTAGGAGTGGTTGGATACCAGTGTCGCAACACTCCGTTACTGATGCTAGTATTATTGCAGTTAGTTACCCATACTGTAAGCGTTGGTAGAGTAGCATTGGCAGCCGTGGTGGCGGTGGTAGTAGTACTAATATTAGGAATATTAGTAGTATTCGCCGTATCAGTGGTGGTAAACGGGGGAAACAGTTTTCTTCAGTGTTGTGACACTGTATTCTCTCCAGTGGTAGTAGTATTAGTAGTAACAGCGGTAGTAGTGGTAGTAGTAGCAGTAGTAGTCGTGGGGGTAGTAATGGTAGTAGTAGTCAACCCGTAAGACAGGCTGGTGGGGGAATAGACAATTCTAAGTGTTGCGATACTGTATTCCCGCCCTAGGAGTAGATCAATATATTATAGGGTCTATAAGCGCATACCGAAATTCGATGCATGGATGTCTTGTTCAATGTCCATCAGTCACAGCAGGATAAATGCGTAATATTCAGCATCTGCTGCTAGTCAGCAAGTAGTATATTTAAGGGCAAGAAAATACAACAGAGGCAGTGCCGGTACCAGCGAAAAACCTATATTCTGCTGATTCGTGGCATGTCTGCAAGGGGTTCGGCTCATCAGTGGGTCCTCCGTCTGTTTTCTGTTAGATGCACCAATTTAGAAACTGTTGACTTTTAATCTCATAAGAAAGACAGCGAAATATTTGCAATCAAGAATATTGACGTTGGAGAGGCAGGATGCTATCGTTTTGTATCATCTCTGCTTAGCAACGTAACCGTGATAAAAACTATAAATTGCCTCTGTGACGTTATTCGTGGCGTTAACTACCCGATATGGCTCCTTTTTAATGCGGCCTTTATGGCGCCCACTACGTGGGATCCGAGCCGGGTGTGGGCGACACGCCTAGGTACGGCTTCCGCTGTGCCAGTCTCCATCGTCACTGTTGGTGGTGAAAAACCTGGTTATTTGTTGTGTGAACCAAGTGCTGTGGAGCGGAACGCCAGGGTGCGGGCTTGTGCGTGTCATCAACTTGCGCCCTCCCCCGTCTACAGTATTTTTGACGCAGTCTTGACACCGGGTCCAGGTGGGGGGGGGGGTGAGGAGAGCGTGTAGTAGATGCAGTGAAAGTATACTCTCACTACAAATCTCGCACAAGCCATCGTCTCGGCCCCACCCTGCTGTGCTGATCACGGTGCACATCATTAAAACGGACGGTCG